GGGGGGGCACAGTGGGGACACAGGGGATGATGGCAGCGGGTGCTGGGTGTCCCCTTCTGTCCCCTTGTCCCCCTCTTCGTCCCCCCTTGCCCACCCTCAGCCCCGTTTTATGTCACGTTTCACTGTTTCTGCCCCTCCTCCCTCCCTCTGCTCTCCCTTTTCCCTCTTTTCCCCCGGTTCTCCCCATTTCTGTCACCTCCTTCCTCCAGTTTCTGCCTCCTCTGCCCCTTCTGTCTCTGTCCCTCTTTTCTCTCTCCAGTTCTGTTCCCTCTTGCCCCCATTTTCTGTCACCTCCCCCCTCTTTCTGGTCCTTTTTCACCCCTTTTCTCTCCTGTCCCTCCACTTTGTCCCTTTTCGTCCCCCATTTCCTCTCACCTTCTGCAGCTTTTTCAGTTCCTCACCTCCCTTTCCCTCACGTTTTCCCGCCTTTTTTCCCCCCTCACGTTTTCCCGCCTTTTCCCCCCCCTCACGTTTTCCCGCCTTTTTCCCCTCACGTTTTCCCGCCTTTTTTTGGTCACGTTTTCCTGCCTTTTTCCCCCTCACGTTTTCCCGCCTTTTTCCCCTCATGTTTTCCTGCCTTTTTCCCCCTCACATTTTCCCACCTTTTCTCCTCAAGTTTCCTTGCATTTTTTGTCACATTTTACCTCCTTTTTCCCCTCATGTTTTCTCACCTTTCCCCCTCACATTTTCCCACCTTTCCCCCTCACATTTTCCCACCTTTCCCCCTCACATTTTCCTGGCTTTTCCCCTCATGTTTTCCCACATTTTTCCCCTCATGTTTTCCAGCCTTTTCCCTCATATTTTCTCATGATTTCCCATCCTTCTTTGTCATATTTTCCTGCCTTTTTTGTCACACTTTCCCACCCTGTCCCCCACATTTTCCCCCTAATGTTTTCCCATGATTTTCTGTCCATTTTCCCCCGCTTTTCTGTGCCCCTTCCCAGCCCCATCCCTTCCTGTCACCATTTTCTTTCCCTTTTTCACTCCCAGTAACTTTTTCCAGCTTTTTCTCTTCCCTCTTTTCTGTCCCCTTTTCCCTCCATTTCTTGTCCACTTTCCCATCTCTTTTGTCCCTTATTGCCCTCCATTTCTTGTTACCTCTTCCAGCCTTTCCTGTCCCCCCTTTCCTCTCTTTTCTGTCCCATTTTTCCTCTAATCAGTAAGTTCTTACCCACCTTTTCTGTCAGGTGTTCCCACCATTTTCTGTCCCATTTTCCCCTCTATTTGGTAAGTTCTTACCCACCTTTTCTGTCAGGTGTTCCCACCATTTTCTGTCCCACGTCCCTCCCATTTTCTGTTCCCTTTTCCCCCTTCCCTGTCCCCTCTCACCCCTGTTCACGTTCCCTCTCCCCCTCCCCTCACCCCTCAGGACGTGTCCCCCGTGTCCCCCCGACTCAGGACTCTTCCCTGTGGTCTCAGTGTTTATTGTCAGCCCTCGGGCTCGGCCCCCTCGGGGCGCGCGGGCGCGGCGCAGAACGGGGCCGGGTAGCGGATGAACAGCCAGTCCTCCTCCTTCTTGAGCCAGCGCAGCAGCTTGGTCAGCACCGCGATGGCTCCTGCCTTCGTCACCAGGGGGCTGAAGCAGCTGTACAGCTCGAATTTGCTGGTCACCTGCGGGAACCCACGCCCATTAACTCTGGGACCCACTGATAGCAGTGGGACCTACAGACAGCGCCGACAGTGAGCACCCATTAACTCTGGAAACTATCGAGGGTGCTCACAGAGAGCAACCCCCATTAACTCTGGAACCCGCTCGTGGCAGCACAACTGTGCTCTCCCTGTTAACTGTGGGACCTGCTGACTGTGCCACGCACCCACAACTTCAGTAACCCTGGAACCTGCTGAGAGAACTGTGAGTGAATGCTGCCTGTTAACTCTGGAACCTGCTGACTGTGAGCACCCCTCTCAACTCTGGAACCTGATTACAGCTCCTCCCCTGCGGCTCACCCAGGCCAGGAGCGTTTCCTTCTCGGCCACGTGGTAGAGCAGGCGCAGGGGCCGCTGGGGGCTGTGCACGCGGCTGTGCAGGTAGTGGTACAGGTCGAAGAGCCGGTGCTGCTCCTCCTCGCTGGTGTAGGGCTCCTCCAGCTCGGGGCTGCAGCCGGCGAGAGTGGGGGGGATGTGGGCGTCAGGTGAACACCAGGGACACCCCCGGCCCCCCC